CAGCTTCACAATCACAAAAATTGTAAGGAAAAAATTGAATATTTTTCAAATGACACGCTAGCGTAAGTAGTATCGTCTCTGCTTCTCGCACTGGTAGTTACCGTTCGATTCTTTGCAGGGGAATTATTTTTTTTTCAAGTTTTTCTATCCTTAAGCTATACAAATTCTTTTTACATTACAATTACCTTTCACCTTCATTTTCTCGCTTATTTTTGCAAATACGAAGATACACCTTACAACATTTTTTATGTATTTTTCAATTCTCTACAACTTTTGTTTGAAACTTTTTTCGATTTAATGCCTAGATTCTAAGATACGGCCGTTTTTTACCCTTTTTTACCCTTTTTCTCAAAGATCTCCTGATCCAATTGCAAAAAAATTTACACTATTCGATTCAGCGTCGTCGAATTACCATTATATCAAGTTTCTGGCCGGGTGCTCAAAAAGTCGGCACTTTGCCTCTTATTGACTGGACTATAAGCGGCTATAGTAAGTATTTGAAAATTTGCGAGAATGCCTTTCGAAAGATCTATCCTAAAGGACAGAAATACGAAAAGATAAGAAAGATATTTCTTCTCTTGGAGAAGGGGTAAAACTTAACGTCGCTTGCGTCAGAGTTTGCGTATAAGCTAAGCCGGTGTCATACGACACCTCCAATATCACTTTTCCACGAAAAGTATGCTATGAGATGCGTTCGCCTTCTCGGCGGGAAATTCGAACCGAGCTTAAGGTCCGTGCGAGCAACTCGTCAAGCTTCGGCGCGTATCGAGGCGCGTATCGAGGCGCGTCTTGTTCTACCATCGCTCGACCTCTGATTATATATCATCGGATTAATAACAAAATTAATTGGATATCTCGGCCGATGATCTACTTTTGCTCTTCTTACCGTTACATCTGTCCCTATCGTTTGTTTCTCGATACAAATCTTATCGCGTGAAAGTATTCACAAAATATCTCTTTCTAATCCTTATAGTATAGTAGAAAGTAGGAGTGCAACTTTTGCAACTTCAATAGATGGGAAAATACTCTAAGATGTTAATGTTTCAAAGGTGTGAGTCGTTGTTCTCATCTCTTGCGAAGGTTGACGCCTCGTTGTCGTTCTCGAGGAATGCGCTTCGCCAATCGTATTATCGGGACATCCGTTTTGGTCGTTGTACTTGATAGGCCAGAATAAACCCACGCCACCCACGCTCTCTCGACGAGTAACGTTCTTTTCTCGAATACGTCTCTCTCGCGTTCCCTCGAAAACGAATATAATACGATTATCTTTGCGCTTTATTCGAACGCGTCGATAGATCGAACCAGTCGAATTAAGACTATCGAAATAATTAGGTATAGGGTAAATTTCAAATCAAGATTTCAACGCAAGAGATGATTCGTTATCTCTCTGCTCGTTCTCCGTAACTAAAGTGAGTACAATCTAGACGCTGAATAAATGAAGTTAATAACCGTTATAACTTTCTCCTAGGATAAGAAACAAATAGTAGTCCATAGACGAGCTTGGAAGGGAAAAAAGTGTTCGAGATGGAGATCGAAATGGAGATGATCGAGCCGATGATCGAGCCGTGGCACGTTCGAGCACGTACGGACGAAAGAAATCTTCTCCGTGGATGAGCAGCGGGGGTTGTAGTGTTCCGTGAAAGAGAGAACAGTGTGAAGCGGAGAGAGGTCGAGAGAGGGGAGGAGCTCACGGGATAGGTAAGAGACATACGGTCGTTGGCCGCATCGGACAAGGCTGCTGGCAAGGAGAACCAGGGCTGTAGCTCGATAATAAAACAGGCGGGTAGTGCCGGGCTCGAGAAGCGATCGTAATAACGGAATGCTGCCTTCGGCTTTAAACGTATGCAGGACACTTTCGATTTTTACTCCAGTCTTTCGTCCTTCCCTTCTACTACCTACTCTTCTCGTTACGAACTTGCTACATGTATCGGTTCTTCCTTTATTTTTCTTCTTACCTGGAGCCGAAGAGTACCTAATCAAATTCCTATTTATTACTCGATTACTTCCTGATGCCGATACCGTGCTTCGCGTCGCAAGGACTGATGATTAACGGGATAACGCGAACGAACGATAAAGTTGAAGCATGTAAAAGTGAGAGAATCCGTCCAAAAACAATGCGATTCCACGATATCTGAAAATGAGTCGCGCATCTGGAATGCGAAAGAGTATTCGCATATATCCTTTTTCCCTCATCGAGATAAGAATTTCTTCCGACGCGCATTATTGACCATTATTAATATATTTGTAGCAACGAAGAAGGAAAAATGATCGTAGCGCATGCGCGAATCAGAGAGCGAAAGTGTCCGGTTATTAATCGACGTGGGCGTGTTAGAAGACGTCCTGAAACCGTCGACGATTCGTTTAAAGAACCTCGACAAGAAATTTCTCATCCGCTTGTCGTCTGCCCTCACCATTCTCTAATGTAAGCTTGGCTCGATTATTGCTAACACTAATCGCGAGCAGTCGCTTCGACCGAGAAATTGGATAAATTCTTTCGGCAAGGAAACACGGATAGGTGTTTCCCCTGACTCTTCTTGAATCTCTTTCCTTGAATTTAAATTGAAATTAACTCTCTCTGAGGCGTTAAAAAACATTTTCCATTTCCTATCCTTTTCTAATCACAATAGAGAGAGAGAGAGAGAGAGAGAAACGAAACTTTCGGTGGTTTCTAATTGAGCCGAATTACGTAGAGTCCTACAAACCCTCTGTCATCTAAAATTGAGTAAGCTTATTTAGATTTTAATTTAAATAAAAACAAAACAAGTAGCTTTTTATTTTCATTGAATATATTTGATTTCTTTTCCTTCCGGATGGAAACAAAAATAAATGTACAAAATTCTGTAGAATTTGATTTAATTAACTGGT